CCTCAGTGTAAAATGCATGCCCAGCATGTACAAAGCTCTGAGTTCCATCCCCAGCATGGGAAAAGAAAAAAGAACATTTCAGGGTCAGCCAAATGGCTCAGATGGTAAAGGCACTTACCACCTAGCCTGATGACCTGAGTTTGATCCCAGGAACCCATGTGGAAGGAGAGAAGCAACTCCACAAAGTTGCCCTCTGATCTCTACACATGTGCCATGAAGAGTGCCTATACATAAACATCATACATTCATACACAAGCAATTCTGTTAGAAAATACTTAAAGCTCAGTTTACCATCTATGTAATGGGGATAAAATCACTCTAAGAATTAAAAGGGGTAATTCCTTTAAGTATTTTTATTTATTATTTTTATTTTATTTTATGTGTATGAGTATACTGTCTGCATGCACGTAAGTGCACCCATGTCATGCAATGCCCATGGAAGTCAGAAGAGGGTGTTGGATCCCCTGGAATTGGAGCTGCAGGAGATTGTTAGTTGCCATGTGGGTACTGGGAACCGAACTCAGGTCCTCTGCAAGAGCAACCAGTGCTCTTAACCACTGAGCTCCAAAAGAGGTAATTTCTAAAAGGCATTTGGCATAATGCCTGGAAAAAAATGGAGAAATACTTGAAAAATAGTGGGAGATACAACTGTGACAATCACTAATTCTGCATAAACCAGCACAAAACAGGTGTCAGTGGTTTTTTTTCTTCTACAGAAGGTATATCTTAACAGTATGGATAACTATAAGTACCCAATTCACTGAGTTATTGTATTTAATCTTCCAAAAGTTTTGTATAGCTGTTACTTAAAGAATTAAATGCATATTAATTTCACAAATGTACTTAATATCTTTAACTTTGAAATTGATAGAGACATACTTATTTACCCAAGAAAATTTTCAATAGTAATGTCACAAACAGAAAAAAATGACTCGTGAATTGTAAAGATTCACCTAAAAGTGATACTGTCTTAGGCATCGTCAATCTATAGCTTTTTCTTTGGGGGGGTCTTTTTGAGACAGGGTCTCCCTGTAGCCCCTGCTGGCCTTGAACTCACAGAGATCCTCTATCTATAGTTATTTTTATTAAACTCACACCATTAACTTATTCTCTGTAATTAATCATTTCTATAGCATCTTTCATTTAGGGAAAAAAATTACATGACTTAACTATACTCATAGAATTCAAATTTTGTATCGCATTGTGAAGGTTCCCTGGGGACATAGTGCTACACGATGTATGACAATGCTTAGTAAATCAAACGTACAGTATACACTCAGTGCTAGCTGGTGTGCACGCATATGGGTGCGCACACACACACTAATGATAAAAACTAAAATTGAAAAATGCACCTCAGGCCAGGCATAAAGGCAGAGCAGGCCTCTATGAGATTGAGGCCTGCCTGGGATGGTCTACACAGCAACTTCCAGGTCATTTGGAGCTACATAGTGAGACCCTGTCTCAAAAAAACAAAACTAAACTAAACTAAACTAAACAAAAAAACACCTTGACTTGATGCCATTCTAAACCAAGATGGAAGGCCTGAAGTGTAGGTCAGAAGTGCTTGCTTAGCACACATGAAGCTCTGGATTCAGACCCAGCATTACACATCAGAACTAAGCCAGAAGGTATTCATTTAATCCCTTTTAGTTTAATAACAATGAGGTACATAGGTTAAACCAGGACACATATCACTGTAATCAAAACAACATTTAACTCTTTATCCAGCCTTAAAAAAATAATCCTTCAAGGGGTACCCCAATTGCCTCACCCTGATTCCTGTTTAACATGGAAGAAGCGAGAATAGTCTGAGTCCCAGTTCCCTATTGGCAACTAGGCTAACCTCTTCAGGGGATGGTGTAATAAGAATAGAATAGGAGGCAGGAATTGACTAGGCAGTTAGGGTAAAAAGACCCCAAAGAAAAGCAGACAGTTTTTTGGCTAAAAATCAAAATGTCCTTGGGCCTCTTAGCAACATACTCTGTTCCAGAGGCCAAAAACATCAAAAGTATTTGGGAGGTCTTATCTAATCCATAAAAGATTTTAGGGTTACCTTTTCAGAGGGAGGAATGTTAGAGTATCAAAAAACCCCATTTAAAAAAAAAAAAAAGAAAGAGTACACAAAGTTGTTCAGGAAAAAGTGATGGGGAGATATGTGAGGAGTTGGAGGGGAGGGAGTGGGCGTGGATTGACCTTATATGCATGTATGAAATTCTCAATAAAATTTTTTTAAGTTAAAAAAATCCTTCAACTAAAAGCTTAATGCAAGTTTTTATAAAAGAGCAAGTAAATGACTGGTTTTACATACTTCCTCCTCCTTTTATTTATTTTTATTTTATTGTTGTTTTTGAACCAGTTTTCAGACTGACCTGTAACTTGCTCTGTATACCAGGCTAACTCTGAATTCCTGATCCTCCTGCCTCCACATCCAAAGCGCCGGGACTGCAGGAATATGCCACCATTCCTGCTCTTTCATTTTGTTTAAATGCAAATTGTAGAAGCCATTTAATATAAATACGATCATCAGAAACAATTATAATTGTTTGCCCAGGAAAAAGCACTGGTATCAACTAGTACCAGCTCAAAGTCAATCCCCCGCATAGTCACGTATGACAAATAGTATTGAGGCAATAAATAATCAGGAGTACCTGTCCCCCATTACAGAGGCTCTTCTCTGGACTATTCATATAAAGATACTCAGACCTCTTTCTCTTCCTGGCAATGTACCCCAAACTCATTGTGTACAAAATTAAACTTAGACCAGTCTTTCCTGTGTCCCTGTCTGTTACTGGTATCACTCAATCACCCAAAAATAAGATCTAATTTTTTTCCCTCACCATTACCCTCTCTCTTCCCAAGAACAAACCAAGTGACTTCAGGACCTGTGAGTCCTGAAGACCTAATTATCTCTACACCATACAACATCTACCCTGTCTCCATTACCACTGCCTTTGACCTGTGCAAGCACTCTCCACTGCAAAGTGAATCCACAGACTCTGAACAATACAGAATGATCTTGCTAGGTATGCCCCTTTCAACTATGTGCCTACCACAGTGTCCCAGATCCTAAGAATTTGAAGGTCCCTCATCAGTCCCTATTATTCATTCACTTCGTCTTAGAAGTGCCTAAAAACTGATTCACCTTCAAGGCTATTCCTCCAATCTAAAAGCCTATAATTTCATGAAAGCAGAGTGACCTGTTTTAGTCCACTGCTCAAAATTCTAAATCCAGCCACATATCTTCTCCAGTCTTGCTCCCTTTTGCTCTTTCTGCTCCAGTCACTGAGCCTTCTTTCTAGCCTGTCATAATCCCACCCATTCCCCTACCTCCATATATCATGACCCTTCAGCATCCCAGCCTTCAGCAACATCTCAACTCAGAGACTAGTCTTAGCCTCATTCCAAAATAAGTCATGGCTTCTGTCTCCACTCTTCACCTCCACAATATTAAGCAAAGTTATAATAGACTGATTATTGGATTGTTTTACTCGCAAAGTAGAAGGTAAGTTCCACAAGAACAGAATTGTATCTGTCTTGCTTACCAATATATCTCAAACTTAAACAGAATTCATAAATCACAACATCCTAAGTTACAAGACCAGCCCACTACTCACAGGTCCTGAAGTCACTTGGTTTCTCCATCCACAAAACAAAAGCGCTCATCTTTTCAGTGTCCTAGGAGATCTGACATTACTTGTCTATAATTTTAACATTACAAAATTCTCCTTCACAACTTCTACATAGGCAAAATTTCATTTCCTGGTCTCTACAACTTTGTCTCCATCATTCCTTCTATTTTCCCCAGTGCATTTGCAAATCCTACTTAACCTCAAATGCTCAAATTCAATGTCACCTCTCCCTCCAAGTCTCTGCCATCTCCTAGCCAGTCACCTACCTCAGCTCCTTCGTTTTCATTAAGTTCTCCAGTGGCTCATTCAGGTCTCAGGTTAAATGACACTCAAATGAATGACTTCTAATGACACCAGCTGGTCAGAATTCTGTAAGACCGCCCCGTTTTTATTTTGTTGAGAGCATTTACCATTATCTGAAATTATATTGTTCATTTCTTTCACTTACTTGTTAACTGCCTGTCACCGCCCACTAGAACTTATGATCCATTGGAGCAAGTACCCTGTCAGGTTTACATTTCCTCACTTTCCCATATCAAATATCAAAGCGGTCAATAGGTATCTGCCAAAGGTATGGATGACGCTGTAGTTCTTATGACTAGGGATTCTAGGATTCTGTGTACTTAACCCTCTCCTTACTGTATTCCGGCTCCTTGTGGACTACACCAATCTACTAATCTGTGTGTACTGCCCCAATCCTTTCACAACAGAAGCAAATAATAGGCAAATGCTAATTAATTAATAAGTGATCTCTCCAAGAGGTTGTACCCCAAACCAGGCCAACTTATCCAGAATCCAGGGCAAACAGGAATCTCCCTCCAGACAGACCTTGTTCCAAGATGCCACCTGCGAGTGAGGCTCAAAAGACTAGTTTCCTCCTGACAACAACCGGTGGTACTTCTACCCCTAAAATCTCTCAATACAACCTTGCCCTTCTATCTGCAGCCAACAAATCACTTCTGGGACCTGCTTCTTCGGAGCACGTCTCCAATCTCTCGAGATTGTTAGAAGACAGTGTTTAAGAACTGGCTCACTCACCTTTTCCTTCATACCTCGTTTATCAGAAATAGGCCCATTTTCACAGATTCACTTTTACACACTTCGGGACCCAAATCTACCCCTCAGCACCCAAATACCTCCCAGGCGTTCCCTTGCCTGGCTCCCACCTTTTCAGCCTTCCAGCACAGGAAGATCCCCAAGGCCTGAAATGAACTCCCTCCCAAAAAGCCAAGGGCCATCAAACTCAGTGGGGCGACCCTAACCTCCCTTTTTAATGTCCGCACCTGCCTCTGGCCTGGAACCGTCTCCGGCGCCTTCAGCCCGGCCTCTGGCTGGGCCCAAGCCTCCACTCGCTCCCGCACCCGCACTCACCTGAAGCGGCCCCCGCAGTGCTGGCATTGCTCGCCCACCCAGCCCGCGGGGCAGACGCACTGGCCAGTGCCAGGGTTGCAGCGGCCGCCGTTGACACAGGGCCTGTCACATTCCTTGGCCTCGGCTGCAGCTGAGCCCGAAACCGCCGCTGCCACTGCCGCGGCCTCGGCCTCCCGGGGCGGCAACGGCAGCAGCAGCAGCAGCAGCAGGGAGAAGAGCAGCAAGAGCAGCCGCGGCGGCAGCGACGGCGACAGCAGCCGCGGGAGACGCAGCCCGGCGCCTGGCTCCAGCCTCCAATCCCCAGTCACGTCCGCGTGTCGGTGCCGGCTGCCCTGTCTGCTCACGGGCGCTGCCGTCGCCGCCGTCCTCCTCAGCCTTGCCTCAGTCGCCGCCGCCGCCGCCGCCGCCACCATCTTCCCGGGGCTAAGACGGCGCCCTGCGAACACATACACACCCCGCACGCCGGCTCCGCTTAGCCTGGCCGTGTTGGGCGGGGCTGTGCAGACGGTGGCTCGGGCGGTCAATCCCCGGGGTGGGAACCAGGGCTGCGCGGTGGGCGGGGCCACCGTGCGCAGTGGGCGGGGCTTTCGGGCTGCTGGCTTCTGATTCATGCAGCAGGGTATCCGGTCTACCCCTGGGCCTAGGCGTGGCCTCTGTTTCTGCCTAGGTTTGAATGGAGACTTGTGAAGCAGCGAGTGCCACAACTTCCACTGGCTGCCTGGCTCTTCTAGACGAAGCTGGCTGCATTGAGTGTTGCCCTCCTGGACACTCGGCGCTCTCTGCCCCGACTCCACCTTGGGGACAAAAGGGCCTAAAGAGTCTGCCTGCCTCGTGGTGTGGTGCTAGATGTGATCCTGTAGAAGTGTTACATTCCAGTTTCTAAAGTAGGGATGACGAAACAACAACGCGAGTTACGAGCCTGGCATATGAATAAATGCTTAACAGACCGCCTCCCTTGACAACGTTGAATCGGTGGCAGACCAGCTCCACATACACCTTTAATTCTATGGGAGAAGTTAAGGTTACCTCATACCCCACTACTTATCTTCCAGCCATATCCCTGAGAAGAGCATAGTTCAGAATTAACCGGAGCACCCCCAGCCTACTCAAGTCAGCCGGCAGAGCTCTTCTTACTAACTTCAGTACAACTCCCCATCCCTCAAACAATACCTGTTTACCAACAGGATAACTTTCTTTGATCCTCAACCCTGGAATCTGGATTTGGGCTTGTGTCCTGTCACTCCATTTAACCATTAGAACTATGTGATGAAGGGACAATGTGCCAGTTCCAGCTCTGACTGACGGTAATTTTTTAAACATTTTTTTTTCCTGCCCTGAGAGTCTCTTGCTCTTCCACCTTGCTAAAAAGAATTGTGCAGAGTAGAGGAAAGGCCCCAGCCAGACACAGGAAGCTGGGGAGTCCATCCTAAGTGGGAGATAAGTCATTAAGTGAAGAAACCATCTGGGTTGTTCCAGCCATCTGGGCTGTCCCACATTATCTAGAACAGAGACAAATTTTTTCTACTATGCCTCATCCAATGATAAATTCATTTCTGTTTTAAGCCCATTTTAGAGAGATGAACCAGAACATTGTCTTACATTAATTCTTGTGCTGTACAGAACATTCCTATGCAGCTACTTCAGTGTTTCAATACCTGGGAAACAAGGAAAACACCTCATACTCCTGTGACCTTCCTGCTTCACATCAGAGTCCAGAATTCTAAGATTCTAGAATATATTCCCATACCCAGGTACCACTATCATGACCTTCTTCATTCAGCATCCCTTTAAAGTTGTACTGTACAACAGCCTCACCCCAGCTCTCCCATCACAGATCTTTTCTATTCCCACAGGAAACTACTTTTTGGCCAAGGCTCTACTAAGCTCTAGCACTGGATTCTAGTTTTATGGGGTTTTGTTTTGTTTTGTTTTGTGTTTTGTTTGTTTTTTGATCAAGGTCTCAGGTATTATCCAAAATTTACTATAGAACTGAGGATGACCTTGAACTTATCTTCCGGCCTCTACCTCCCAAATGCTGGAATTATAGGCATGCCCCATTATGCCCATTTTATGCAGTGCTATAGATTAAAAACAGGGTTTCATGCATGCTAGATCCTCTACCAGCCAAGCCACACTCTCAAACTCTTCTCTGGTTCTTTTTCTCTAGCTTTCAACAGGCTCAAATTATATCATTTTTTAAAAATAAATATCATTTATTTATTTAAAAATATCATTTAATGCCAGGCGTGGTGGCGCACGCCTTTAATCCCAGCACTTCGGATGCAGAGGCAGGCGGATCTTTGTGAGTTCGAGGCCAGCCTGGTCTACATAGTGAGTTCCAGGACAGCTGGGGCTTCAGGGAGACCCTGTCTCAAAAAAGACAAAAAAAAAAAATTTTTTACTACATTTATTGATTATGTGTAAGTGGGGGTGAGTACATTTCACACATGCTGAAGTCAAAAGATGACTTTTGCCTAGCACTTGGGAGGCAGAGGCAGGTGGATCTCTGTGAGTTCAAGGCCAGCCTGGTCTACATAGTGAGTTCCAAGACAGCTGGGGCTACTGGGAGACCCTGTCTCAAAAAGACAAAAAAAATCATTTAAAAATAAATATCATTTTTATGGGGGGTTGGAGAGATGGTTCAGTGGTTAAGAACACTGGTTGTTCTTGAAGACCCGGGTTCAAACCCCAGCACCCATATGGCAGCCAACAGCAGTCCTTAACTCCAGTTCCAGGGGTTCCAGTTCCAGACAGCCTCTTCTGTCCTCCGCCGGCATTGCATGACATGGGTGCACTTACCTACATGTAGGCAATACACTCATACACATAAAATAAAAATAATAAAACATTTTTAAAGTCTTATGGATGAAAGGAAGCATTCCTAGCTTTAAAAAAAAATTTACTGCTGTTTATCAAGAATCCCATATGCTTTTTACTCCTGTGTGGTAGACTAAATTGCTACAAAGTCTCTGGTATGGTTTGAATCTGGAATATCTGCACTGGTACATGTTTTGACCTCTAGGTTCCTGCTTGTGGCTCTGTTTTGAAGGGCGTGGGCCTAGTTGCCTTTGAAGGTTGTTCTAGCACCTGGTTCCTACTTGCTTTTTCTGCTTCCCTGAGTTCTACCATGTGCTTCCCTCTGCCATAGACAGAACTACCATGAACTATGCCATGCCTTCCCTGCTGTGATGGATTGAAATCCCACTGTACACATAAGCAAAAATAAATCTTTCCCAAAATAAATCTTCCTTCCTTAAGTTGTATTTATTGGGTATTTTGGTCATAGCAGGACAAAAGTCTTTATCACTCCTTCCGTGGAAAAGGAAACCTAATTCCCCACTCCTTAAATCTTAGTGATTTGCCTGACCAACAGATGAAGATGGAAATGGCATGCTGGGATTTCTAGGCCTGGGTCATAAGAAGTCTTGAAACTTCCTTCTAAATGCCCTAGAACCTGGAGAAAGCCAAGAGCCATAAAAGAATTCCAGTACTCTTAGATTGCCACGATGGAAGGAAGCCAGCCGCCCCCCACCCCTACCCTCCCACCCCCACTTTTCCAGCCAGGAGCCATTCAAGTTTTCCCATCTGAGTTACCAGACAATCACGAAGTCAAGAGAGGGTCATATCTGCTGAACACAAGTTTCTGATACATGAGCAAAAATTATTTTTTGTGTCCTTGTTGAAGCCACTAAGTTGGAGGATGGTTTGTTAACAAAACAGATAACTATGGGACTGGAGCAATGACTCTGAGGTTGAGAGCATTGATTGCTCTTGCAGAGGAGCCGGGTTCAAGTCCCAGCAGCCACATGGCAGCTAACGAGTATCCTAACTCCAGTTTCAGGGGATCTGACTGACATCCTCTTCTTTCTGTCCCTGAGGGCATTGCACGACACCAGTGCACTTACATACATGCAGGCATAACACTCATATACAGAAAACAAAAGTAAATAGAAATTTTTTAAAAACCACAAAAACAAAGATAACTAAATTACTCTAAACTCATTTCCACCACAAGAACAAGAAGTCTAGTGAGGTAGACACTATTAAGGACTCATCAAGAAAGGGCTGGGGAGATGGCTCGGTGGGTAAAGACATCTGTTGTGCAAACCTAGCACTCTGAATTCAATCCAGGAACCCATGGAAAGGGAGAAGAAGAGAACTAATTCCCCAAGTTTTCCTCTGATCTCCACACTAGTGCCATGGCACGTGTACCTTCCCCCCATCCCCCACCACACACACATCATACACACACGCAATGATAGTAATTTTACCGTTATTTTTAATTACATGTATATGTGCTGTTTGTGTAGGGGTTTGTGCACATGAGTACAGTGCTAGAGTTACAGGCTGCTGAAAGCTGCCCAACTTGGGTGCTGGGAGATGAACTCAGATCCTCTGGAAGAGCAGTTTGTGCTCTTAACTGCTGAGTCATCTCTCTAGCACTTTTTAAAAAAGTTTTTGTTGCCAGGTGTGGTAATGCAGGCCTTTAATCCCAGCACCTAGGAGGCAGAGGCAGGCGGATCTCTGTGAGTTCAAGGCCAGCCTGGTCTACATAGTGAGTTCCAGGACAGCTGGGGCTACAGGGAGACCCTGTCTCAAAAAGACAAAAAAAAAAAGAAGTTTTTGTTTTGTTTTATTTTAAGACAATTTCTCCTTTGTATGCTTTGCTGGCCTAAAACCCACTATGTGAATCAGGCTTGCTTTGATCTCACAGAGATTATTCTGCCTGTGCCTCTGCCTCTGCCTCTTCCTCTGCCTCTGCCTTCCAAGTGCAGCTATTGGGATTAAAGGCATGCACAATCACGCCTAGCTTAAATTTTTCTTAATTATTATTTTGTGTGTGTGTGCATGCGTGTGCACGTGTGCCTGATGTATGTGTGTGCATTACAGGAGCCCATGAAGGATCAGAAAAGGGCATCGAACCCCTGGAACCGGAGTTACATTTACAGATGACTGTGAGCCACCATGTGGGTACAGGAAACCAAACTGGGGTCCTCACAAGAGCATCAAACCTCTGTCACAAAAGTATGACTCTCTGGCGGGGCATGGTGGCGCACGCCTTTAATCCCAGAGGCAGGCGGATCTCTGTGAGTTCAAGGCCAGTCTGGTTGACATAGTGAGTCCCAAGACAGCTGGGGCTACAGGGAGACCCTGTCTCAAAAAGACCAAAAAAAAAAAAAATATGAATCTCTTAAGAAGGCCCAACTCAAGTTCCTAAGGTACATCATGCACTTTGGCAGGAAGCATAAGAAGAGTGTGAAGAAGATGCAGGCAAACAATATAAAGGCAGTAGGTGTACTTCCTGAAGCCCTCAAGGCCCTTGGAAGCCTACAGAGGTTAAGCCAAAGAGGCTAAAAGGTCCCAACCACAGCTCCTCTGACTTATTTTCATTGCCCACTCCAAACTTTGGAAGTGGATTTGTGGCTACATGGCTAAGAGTTACAGGTTTGCCAACCAAAGGCCAAGCCCAAATCAAGGCCCAAGCTGTAGCTCCTGTTCCAACTCTAGCTCAGTCTTCAAAGGTGCCCAGGCCCCTGTGAAGACCCCATATGGTAAAGGCCTCTGTCTATCAATGTGAAGACAGATGGACTGGTGTGACCTCCCCACCCCC